AAGTCACAAACAGAATAACCACTGACAACAGGCACTGATTTCTTTAAATGATTAAAAATTGTAACCAGCCCTACACAGCAAATTCGGAAGTGTCAGATTTCCAGTGCAAGTGTCGTATGTTAAAAATACAGTGTTAATTCAACAACATGAGTGTTAGTGAGTGTTAGTTTCCCTAACACTCACTAAAGAGTTCCAAGTAGTTAAACAAAAAAGCAATCCAGTCCAGTGTTGATTTCTAAATTAACTCCAACAGTCTAAATCAACACTTAGTCTGGTTCCTCCCACAATTGTAACATACTTGTGACATCCTATCAGGGAAGGAGCAACAGATACGGGGTTGCAGCAGGACCCCAGCCTGGACCTACAGGGGGCCCACATGGGATGCACAACATGCCTTCAGGGATCCAAATTTTCTTTAAAACATCTGATAAGAACTGCAAAAGAGAGCACTGAGACGAAATAAACATAACTGACCTGAGGTCCAGACGAACGTTGGTTCACTGTAATCAGTCAAATACTCTGGGTTTCCTATTCCAGCTCTACATGCAAATCCTGCTGTGTGTTTCTGTCCATGAATGATGTGAGAGTTCTGTACAGTCCCATTGATGATATCCGGCAAAAACTCATATCTGTAGTTGTGCTTTGATAAATCAGGAACAGCCTTATACCAGTAGAACCTCCATCCTGCAGATGAAGGTTCAATCTCACATCTCAGAGTCACTGAGGCTCCAGGATTCAGCCATGATGGAGACACAGTGAGGATGGACTCTGGTGCATCTGTTAGACCAAGAATTTGGTTAATAAGTTTAATATGTCAAAATCTCTTCAAATAAATTATAACTCCATATGTAGAATTTTTGTTTTGCTGTTTTCCACAAAACAGTTTAACTATTCTGCTAGAAATATTCACTGATGGTCCTTATTTAAAGAAAAGATACATTGAAGAGTTGAACCAAATCTATTAGCTTCATTTCTAATAGCCCTGTAACATAACATACCATTTATGCTGATGTTAACTGCATTGCTGAACTCTCCTGATCCAGACTCACACCAGAACACTGCTTTATGGCCCCACCGACTCTTAATGGTACATGAGGATCCAGTCATTTCCCATGAGTTGGAGCAATCTGACAACTGGCGACCAGAGATTATTTCATATTCATCCGAAAAACTTATCAACCCATCAGAGTTTTCTCCATACTCCTTCACTCTCCACTCAGTAGAGTTTCCTCCACAGTTCAGTGTCACAGACTCAGAGGTGAAGTGTTGCTCTCTGTCAGGACTCACTGAGAGAGACGCTGCTGGATGAGGATCTGAAGAACAACATGGAGGAAATAATCAACATAAGCAAGACAATTCTGGTTAATCCCTAAAAATTTCTTCATTTGTTGTTAAAGACTTGCTACAATTGTCTTAAACAGAGCCATTGCTTTTCTTTGCATTTTTATCACTGAATTACAATTTTTAGTTTGGTTGTTTAGTAGTCAGCTGATTTCCAGATTACTACTGGACTTGTTCTAAAGGTTCTGAGTATAATCCCTCACATTCTACCAGGACCTGTATGAAGACATAATACAATAATCCCAGGTGGATCTCCAGGAGGGATATGGGGTGCAACGTTTAGGGTTTAATGAGTCCATTAATCGCTTGCAGACAATGACTCACATGTGATTTAGGAGCTTTAGCAAATTCCTCTTGTTAGTTTTGCTCACAACAAAATACAGGAACATTAAAACATTAAAATATAAAAATATTTAGGACTATTTCAGGGATTTAAGTTTCACACATGGCTCTGTTAAACTACGTTGCACTTTTATTGTCAGAGTGGAAACATAAATAGGATACAAATAGAATAAAACTTCTAAATAAAACTGCTTATGTTTCTAATTTACAGGCTTCTTGGAATGCCAATTTTAAAAAAATCTTGTTGCTTGTCAATTGCAGTCGACAGTGTAAGGGATTTAAAAGTAGACACACAAGCTTGGTGACAAAGTTGGATAAAATGGAGGAAGAGAAGACGAGAACTGAAGAAGAAAGAATTTGACAAAGGTGATGTCACCAAATTAGTGTGAGAATATGTTCAGTACTGATCTACTATGTTCATCAGAACGTTTCACATAGCTGTAGAATCAGGTGCAATTTACTCCAACTTGGTGTTTTATGGTGAATGTTCAAAATTTGAGGCTTAGCCATAACCGCATGCTTTGACGCAACAAAACAATTTTGATAACTTTTGATCTTCAGTGCCTTAAGACTATAAGTGATTTTGAAGTCTGTATGTGAAAAGCTGTAGGACGAGTTTGCTCAGATGAATGTTTAAAAAAGACAAAATGGTGGCTTTGATCCAAAATGGCCGACATTCTGTTGGATTTGGACTATGGGTTCAAGAGGCTTTTTTAAAGATCCTGTGAAATCCCATATGTGTGATGAATTTCATGATTGTCAAAGCGTGGTTTGGGACTTTGGGGGAATTTGGCTACATGTAACAGAGACGAGGACGACCTCGGAGATGAAAAGCTAAGATGGAGACTGAGGCAGGCAGAGGTGATGTTATTGTCTGTATCTAGACATTGAAGAGGAGCTGGCAGGACGGGCTGCGTCCAGGATGAGAGAGAGTTTTATTACCCAAGGAGTCATATTTAACTGTTTTAATATTAATAATGAATCACTTCAATTTGGACAGCCTTTCCTTCTACTTTGTCTTTTAAATATAGAATTATTGTTGCATGTATGACTTAAATGTGAATAGTCTACTTAAAGAACAGACTTTTGGCCTGTCTGTGTATAGTCTATACACAGATACAGACACAGACTCTGTATAGTCTGAGAACGACAGACTAAAAGTCCATCGTTCTGATTCATCTTTTAACTATTTAGTCATTTTAAAAACTTCTCTCTCCTCCACAGTTGTTTGTTTGCATCATTTTACAAATGTGATTTGAAATTTTAAGAGGCAATGTTTGTTTTTTTTTGGTTTGTTTGCTTTAGACTGTGAAAAAAAGTGAAACTGCCATGTTGAGGTGTTGAAGTGGATCCACAAGCAGCAGGCAGAAGGTGTTGTTGAGTTAATTATTTAATAAATGAAAAATCCAACTTACTAGAAGATACAAAATGTAGGGAACAAAAATCCAAATAATCCAACTGGAGAAAAAGTCAGATGACACATTGAGTGGCTGAAACAAACAGGCTAAATACTCAGAGGAAGAGAGAGAGAACAATAGACCAGGGCTGATGAAGTAATTGATAACAGATGTGTGTAGTTGGAGAGAGTTAAGGTAGATTGTGGGGGAGAGAGAGTTGCACAGGGAAGATTATACAGAGAGAGAGAGAAAACAGAGGAACAGGAAATAAATACGACACTAAAGAATCATGAGATCTAAAGTAAGAAAAAAAAGAGAAGTAAACATAACTAGAAACGCTACAAGGGACTGACATACAGGAAGACAAGAACGAGACGGGTCTAACCAAAGAAGTATCAAAGTATCATCAAATAATGAACTTGAACGATCAAGAAGGATTAAACAAAAGTGAGCTAGAAAACGACAAATAAAATCACTAAAATATGCTGTGTTACAGCAGATATTAAATCATATACAATTTTGATTATGCATAGTGTTTATTTTCATTATTGTTTTTAACAAATTTAAAATATATCTGAAGAGGCATTGTGAACATTTGATCTTTGACACCCGACTTGAAAGATTGATAATAATTATGGATGGATAAAGTAGCTGAACACATGAACAACGATGGAACAAGAACAGAACTGACCTGCAGACCAGATGAACTTTGGTTCACTGTAATCAGTCAAATACTCTGGGTTTCCTCTTCCAGCTCTACATGCAAATCCTGCTGTTTGTTTCTGTCCATGAATGATGAAGGAGTTCTCTCCAGTCCCATTGATGCTACCAGGCAGTGGATCATATTTATAGTCATTCTGTGATAAATCAGGAACAACTTTATACCAGTAGAACCTCCATCCTGTAGACCCATATTCAACCTCACAGCTCAGAGTCACTGAGGCTCCAGGATTCAGCCATGATGGAGACACAGTGAGGACCGACTCTGTTGCCACTGGGTAGGGATTTATTAATTAAACAATGGGAAAACAAAATTAGACAGGAAATGTTACAAGTTAATAGGCTGTTGACATGAACATGCAGAAAAATGTAAAGTATTGACAACAATCCATTCAAATAACTTTGATACTAAAATTACAGTAAAATAGTTTCTTTTACTGAACAAATGATGCTAAAGGAGCCTGAAACCTGCTGACATGCGGCTGATCAGAACCGAATGGTTTAAATAAACGTTCAAAACCAGAAAGTTTTCATTTACCTTGAGAGTTTCCACAGCAGAGAAAACTGAGAACTGAAAAAAAATAAAGATTGATACATTTTTAGATCTATTAGAAAATGGAAAATAGCTGAGTTTTCTTTCTGTATTTGTTTTATGCCAGTTTGAAGCTGAACACAAACAGTGTAAAAATGGATGTTTGCTCAGTTAATTTTTTTAAGTGAACACAACAAATGAATCCATCTCATCCTAATCTTCTCATTTCCAGCATTTTCCTAGATCTGCTAGATTAAAACTCATTTACTCACTCAGGAAATCCAGCACACAGAGCAAAACGTGGTCCATCTTCACGTCCTACACTGGTGATGTGTCGCTCTGGTTTAGCAAAGTATTTCCGCTGTCTAGCAGGAGACAGACCAAAGCTGCAACACCTAAAGAAGAGCAGAGCATAAAACTCAATGCACATCGTTTGAAGTTGTTCTGTTTCCGTTTCACAGTGTTAACCACATTGCTGTGGTTTTTCCACTACAGCAAACTTTGACACTTGTTCCTCCAGCGCTTCATGTCCAACTTATAGCTCACAATGCAAAGACTGGAGAGAACATAAATATAATGAATATATACGTTGCTTTTCTCATAGAAAAACATTAGATATAGATTTTAAATCATTACAGTTAACCTGTTAAGTTGGTGTCACAGCTTAAATACTCATGAAAACATATCTAACGTACCTCATGACTGCAACCGTTGTAGTAACATGAATGCACAACATGAAATCAACGTTCAATTCTTCCAAAAATAATTGAGTTTATTTCTTTGTCCTCAACCATTTTTCAATCACCAATCAGCTTAGTAGCACAAAACATTAAAGATCTTCTTTTGCTGTATTAACCTTCCTCTCAGGTCTTCTGGTTCTGGTTCTGGTTCTGCTCTGCATCCCCCGAACCAGAACCAAACATGGAGAAACAGCATTCAGCTTCTATGCACCACAAATCTGGAACAAACTTCCTGAAAACCGAAATGTTTTTGGTTTTATGAAATGAAGCACTTTGAAATGCCTTGTTGGTGAAATGTACTATACAAATAAACTTGATTATCTATCACTGTGCCTGCGAAGCTGAAGACAAGACATTCATCATAGTTTCTACTCTCCTGACACACAATACTCCATCCATCCATGTGATACAACCAGTGAACTTACATCAAATACTGTGAAAGACAATACTGTTTTCACATTACTACTTTGTCTTCATAACGTTATTCCTCTGATTTACATTTCAGCTAAATATTTATTCCAGCTGATGCAGCTTGAGAAATCTCATTAACTTAAAGAAGTTCCCATTATAATAATAATATTGTAATAATCCTAATGGATGGTGATGATAATCAGTGTGAGTTCTGACCGTGGTCAGCACAGCTGAGCTCATCAGCTCCAGTCTGGTTGTAGTTTGTGTTTGAGTCCTAAGCTCTTCTCTCTGATTGGACCAACCTGAAATGAATACAGTAAATTTATTACTGTACTATTACTGTACAGAACCGACTGATTCTGTTTGAGATGAGAACAAGATGAAGATGAACCAACCTGAAACGACGACGACCTGAAAAAAAAAACACACATTCATGGTCATATAATTATAAAGTTATGTTGGAAATGTTTCACTGCAGCTTCAGGACAGGGAAATCAGCTTTTATGTGAAACTGTGTTCATGTCAGTAACAGTTGCTTCCACGAGGAACGTTAGATGAACAGAAGTTTCTGTATGTTTAAAGTTGTGATAAATAAGAGAATCAAAAAACTCTGTCATGCCATTTTGTCTTCATGACTGGCGGGAATGGACACTGTAAAGATGTCAGCACATCAGTAGTAGTGATATTATGTGGTTCATCGACAGGCTATTGATGTTTTCACACCTCCTTCTCAAATAGCTGTTCACAAAAATGCATTCTTGTTTCCAGGAAGTAGACATACACAAAGCTAACGGTGTTAACATGAAGTGTCATATCACAATCTGACAGCATCTCTCACAGTGGCTACAGTCAAAATTAATACAAGCTCATTCTTGCATGTACTAAAACAGTTGCTGTTTTTTTTTTTTTTTTTTGGGGGGGGGGGGGGGGGGGGTCCCCCCCCCCCAAAACAGAGACAAATTTTTTTTTCAAAATAACACACCGTTTTTTTT